TAAGGATTTTAGAATTAGTAGATATCAGAACGATTCTTTAGGCAATTCTATTAGCGATGATGATAATGATGAAGTTGATTTTAGGGTATAGAAGACTCGTTAAGAATCTAGTTCTATCCTAAGTTACTAATTTTTTATATTTTCTAAAATTGGAATCCCTATTAAAATTTTTAGTGTTTATGTGCTTTCTTATAATGTGCCTTTTATAAACTAGGATTACGATTTATGTATTTAGAGTGCTTTTATAAATTTTCATTATTTTAATACTTTTTTTATGTCTTTAATTTGAAACTTATGCTTTGATTCAATTCTAAACTTAAATTTTGATCAATTAAGAAAATCATCTCAATTCCCAATATATTTTTTTTAGATATTGTGCTTAACAAATCATTTTAGACAGGAGCAATATTAATTCGAGCCTTAGAAGATGACAAAGAATTGTAAAACACAACCAAGTCAATATAATAAGAAAAAATTATGGGAAAGGTATAAGTTAGAGGATTGTTCGCTCCTACGACTAACAAGTTGATGTGTACAACGTTATTACTACACTATAGAGTAGTTGCTTTCACAATTCTATATCATGATTTCAAGCCACAATGTTGTGACTTTTGACCCTAGACTCATCCTTTAACAAGACACAATTATGTGAATTGTTATTATGCAGAGCCTGATTGTGTCAATCAATTGGTTGATAAAAGTTTTGAACTTCGCCAATCAAGCTTGAGGATGAGTTTGCAATGCGTGGGTGGGGGTATTGGGGGGAATACCCCCTATATTGGGCTAGAAGGCAGTGTCGCCACTCCAGGTACAAAATCAGAACCCAAGAGCATGACACTCGAGTGCCACGTGGAGAGCACCGCAACACCCAAATGCAGTGCCCCAACACTGAGACCATTAGTGTCGTAACGCCTAGTCCATGTTTTAGAACTCAAGACTACAGTGCCCGGAGGCCAACTCCCAAGCACCAGTCACCACCACGCAACTAATGTGGTGCGGCGAAGCTAATAACCAAATTCATGCAACATTCACTTAAGCTCTCAACTTCATTTTGGGAAGGGTGCGCGTTGAAGGATTAAATTCAAGTTTTCACTTGTGTGAAGGAGAGAATGAGTGTCTTTTAAGTGTTCTAAAGAGAGAAAAAGCTTGAGTGATATAATTTATATAATTCACCTCATTTTCTTTATAGTGGATTTCTTAATTTGGTGTGGCTCTGTGGTTTTTTCCCGTTCTTGGGTTTTTCTAAATTAAATCTAGTATTCTATGTGTTTTCTTGTTTTGTGCGCTTCTGTTCAAGTTTTTGCTTCAGATCTTTTAAATAGGTTTCTGCAAAATTTCCGCATCTCTCTCAACAAGTGGTATTGGAGCGAGATTTTTAAAATTATTTGGTTAGCAATGACAAACAAAGCGAGGTACAAGGTTGAGAAATTCATTTGTTCGTACTATGCTTCTGGAAAATACAAATTAAGGATTTATTATATCAAAAGAATTGTATTTGTCATTGGATAGAATCACCAAGAAGCGGGAATAAAAGATTCTGGAAGAATAGGAAGTACTTGATCGAGAAAATCTAGGTTTGATCCGACTTTTACTTTCCTCATCTATGTTTTCGACATTGTGAATAAGTAAGACTGTTGTTGATCTTATGATTGCACTTGCAAGAATGTATGATAAGCATTCAACTTCAAATAAAATTTTTCTAATGAAGAGATTATTCAATATAAAGATGGTGGATGATAATTCAGTGACTAAACACTCGAATAATTTCAACACGGACAAATAAGTAGTATTCCGTTTGCATCAAGTTTGATAATGAAGTTATGACACTATTATTCTTACCTTCATTGCCAGATAGTTGAGATGGACCAATTATACGATGTTTAACTCTTTAGAAAACATGAAGTTGAACTTTAATGTTACTATGAGATTAATGCTGAATGAAGAAGTTTTCAAAAAGGCGAGCGATGAAACATCAAATTCTGCTCTGAATGTTGAAGTTTGAAGAAGAAATCTAAATAGAAACATGAAAATGAAAATATTCAAATTTAGGAGAGGAATGTGCAAGTCATAGAAAGAAAAACGCTAAAGTGAATGCTAGAATTATGAGAAAAAGTCACCTTAAACATACTGCGAACCTGCGAAGAAGAATAGTGGTAGAGATCCAGATAGAAAACTTTATATAAATGTCTCCACATGAAATCTAAGATAACTCCCACATTTTATCCCAAGATAGTACTGAATCATAATTAATAGATTCAGATGTCTATTTTCATGCTTACTCTGATAAAGAGGTGCTCAAAAACTAAACTCATGATAATCTAGGAAATGTGTAATTCAGAGATAATAAAGCCTGTGATATTAAAGAAGAGGGTGATGTTAATATCAGGTTGTCAAATAAATCAAAATGAAAATTGGATGAAGTTAAGACGTTCTATGTTTGAAGATAAATTTGATTTCTATGAGTCAACTTGCAAGGTCAAGGCATGTGACTATTTTTATTGAAGATTCGTGGAAGGTGATTAAAGGTGCAATGGCTATGGCTTGAGGTAATATTGATGGCACAATGTATATGATCAATAAGATGTCATAATACATTGAAGTAGTTGGAATAAATATTGATGCAGGTCTCTGGCACCACATACTTGGTCATATAAGTGATAAATATATGAAATTCCTCCTTTCTAAAAAAAAATTTAATGACATAAAATCTATATAATTAATTTTTTGTGAAATAATTTTTACGGCAAGCAAAAAAATAACTTGTTTTCTAAAAATGAGTCAAAGATGAAGTGTAAAAAATTGGAATTAATGCATACTGATGTATGAGATCCTATTTCAATTCAGTCTATTGAAGGTGCTCTATATTTTGTCGCTTTCATTGATGATCACACCAGAAAAATATAGGTGTATTTCTTAAAATAAAAATTTGATGTTTTTAAGTGAAAAATCATGATTAAGAATGAGACATTTGATATTGAAGTCTCGAATTAGATAATGGTGTCGAGTATCATGATCAGAAATTCAGAAGTTATTGTGCTTTACAAAGAATCAAACATGAGCTAATTATTCTAATGATGCCGCACCAAAATGGTGGTGTTGAGCACATTAATAAAATTATTACATTGAATGCAAGGATTATGCGTTGCATGCGGGTTGCAAAAATAGCTATGAGCATAAGCAGTAAAACTTGTTCTTTATCTAATCAATCGTGATCCATCAGTATCTTTAAACGAAAACTTATTTGAAGAAGTTTAGAGTAACAGAGGTAAATCTATATTACAAGAAAGTATTTAGTTATTCATCATATGTTCAAGTTGATCCAAAATATAGAGATGCACTTCATTAGGTATGAGTCAGACAAATTTGGTTATAAATTTTGGGACTATCAGAAGCAAAAAATTTCTTAGAAGCAATGCTGTCACTTTCAAAAAAATAGAGATGTACAAAGACAAAAATAGAATGCAGGATAGTCCCCCAGTTATTTCTAAAGACTCCTGCAAATATGTTGAGATAAAGAACACTAATGATTACAAAAATTGATAAAGGAAGTATCCTCAATCTGATGAAGCACAATAAGTTCTCCAGGCAACTGCTACTAAAGTCAGAAGATCCAACAGAATCTCACAACCAACACAAAGGTATTATCCTTCATTGTAATACATATTGCTTACTGATATTAGTGAATCGAGTGTGTTATGATGAGAATATTCAAGTTTACTCAAATGAGTAAGAGTTTGGCATGAATGATGAGATGCACTCAGTAACGTCAAATCAGACATGAATAAAAAATTATCATATGGCAAAAAAACACTACACAACAAAGGGTTTGTAGATTGAAAGAAGATTCAGAATATAGTAAGAGCTACAAGGCGAGACTTATTGTAAAGAGATTTCAGCAAAAGAAATCAGTTAACTACATTGAGATATTTTCTCTTATAGTGAAGATGACAACGCACTACCAAACAAATAGATTCAAAAGCTGAAAGAAGAATTAGTTGATAGTAAATGCAACAAAGCAAGGTTTGTTACGAAGGAATTTCAGCAAAAAAAAAAGTTACTACACTAAGATAGTTTCTCTTGTAGTAAAGATGACAATTATCAGAGTTGTGTAGAACTTAGTAGCATTGAAAGATCTACATCTGAAGTAGATAAACATGAAGAAAGTCTTCTTACATGATGACTTAAAAAAAGAGTTGTATGATACAACCAAAGAGATGAAGTTTCATGAAAAAAAGATATAGTCTATAGATTGAAGAAAAATCTTTAGGCCTAAAGAAGACACCAATGCAATGGTATAAGAGATTTGACAAGCTTATGTCAAGTTTTCTCATTTTTTGTTTCATGCGCTTCTATTCATGTTTTTGTTTCAAATCTTTTGAATCGGTTTCCGCAAAGTTCCTGCATCTCTTCCAACATGATGTTATATTCCTTTAAAAGTTTATAAATAAGAAAATTATAAAACATAATTCTAGGATTGCAAGAAGAAATAAACTATCCATATGTGATAGGCATTAATTTTTCAAAAACTGAACGCAGAATTCAAACCTCCAGTAAGGAAAAGTAAAGATAGTTGCATGCCATAGAAAAACAACATCATATCAATTTATAAATATCAGATACTTCCAATGAAACAAATTGATTTAAAATTTTCAATAATGTCTTGACAAAGCGCCTTACACAGAGAAATTCAAAGAACAACTACTAAAAATTACAAAGAGAATTCTGGGTTATATACTATTCTAGTAATTCTGCTAGCACATCCCTGAATTACGTGTAGGAACTCTCAAATTCTATTAACGGTCATGCACATGAGGACATGATTGTCAGGCAACTGCAATAAAAATCCCAAAGAAGCAGCATCTAAATGAAACTCTATAAAAGCATCGAGTAAAGCTAATCAAAACCTGAAGCATGACCCCCTCTAGTGAAATTCTTAATTAACAATTCAAGAGACATATTAATTTGACAGAAAATCAAAAAACAATTAAGCAATAGAAGACCTTGAGTTCACCCTTATGCTCCTGAAGGATCTTAGCAGCTCCCAAAAGCATCGCAACATGAGCATCATGGCCACATGCATGCATCTTTCCAGAAACTTTACTCTTGTGCTCCCATTCCACACTCTCCTGTACAGCATCACAGATTCTATCTGAGAACAAACGAACAGAAACCATCGAAGCTAAAGTTCCCCCAATAAGTATCATGAACATGACTACATAATGCACACCACCAAAACAAAGTGCCAATTACACCAACTCAGGGCTAGATTCAAACGACTAGCACTGAGATCAGAGCACAAGTAAAATGTAAACTCTAACCTTCATCAAGCATCAAAATTGTTACATTTTTGCGAATAAAAAAAGAGAACGGATAATCCACGCATCAGAACATCCAGAAAAAGGAAAACCTAACCTCCATCGCTAGAGCATCCATGTCGGCTCGCAACGCTACGAATGGGGGCTTTCCAGTGCCAACGAAACCGACCACGCCAGTGACGGCTACTGGGTGCTTGTAAGAAATTGCCAACAGATCTAGCTCGTTTCGAACGAGCTCACTGGTCTCGAATTCCTCGTACCCGAGCTCCGGCTTCTCGTGGATCCTCCTCCTAATCCCCACCATCCACTCAAAAAATTCTGATTCCCTCGCACGCTCAAGGAATCCCTCCGAAACAGCGCCCCTTCCGGCCACCACAGTAGCTAGTGGTACCGAGAGAAGCTGGAGGGCCACCAAAAGGAGAAGCCATGGTGAAGATGAATCCATAGCGCGCTGATGGCGGCTGTAAGGAGCAGCAGCAGCAGGTTTAAATAATTGTTGGCGTTCGGATCATTTGTCCCAGAGTTAGTAAGGTTTTTTTAGATGATAATACTAGAAGATAAAAAATATCACAAAGCTTATTTTTAAATTTTATAGAAACAAATTATTGAATTAAAAATTAATATTACATAAGAAAATATTTTTATACGAAAATAAGAAAATGTTATATTTAAAATCATCAATTAAATTTTGCTTGTCATAATTGTCGAAATATTAAATGATATAATCATGATTTAAGAGAAAAAAGTAAATAATAAATCCTAAATGCAAAAATTGTGATATTTTATATATTATTCATAATTATAAAATTTTATGGTAAAGTGTTCATATTATAAATTGTTATAAAATAGTATTCAAATTTACCGGATAAGGACACGGCAGCCGCCTGCTTATGCGATGGATCAACGCTCCGAAGTAGGGGTGTAAACGAACCGAACACGAACGAACAAAGCTTGTGTTCGTGTTCAGTTCGTTTAAAATTTAGTTTGTTTGAAATAAGCTCGTGTTTGTTTCTTAACGAACGAGCCGAATACGAACCGAACACGAGCTGTTCGCGAACGACGAGCCAGTTTGACATCCCTAATATTAATATATAAAAATAATATTATATATTAATTATATAACTTATATTATATAAATATACAATATCTATATTAGTATATTACTACTATAGTATATTAATATATTATTATTATTATTTTATTATATATTATAATTTATAAAATTTAATGTTTTAGAATATAATAAATTTTTTATATATAATTATTTTATATTATTTTATATTTCAAACAATAACGATTCGAACACGAACGAACGCATCACTGTTCGTGTTTGGTTCGTTTAACTAACCGAACGAAAAAAATTTGTTCGCGTTTGTCTCGTTTACTTATCGAACGAATCGAACACGAACTCATTGACGAACCGAACACGAACTGTTCGCGAACAACGAGCTTTTTTGACAGCCCTACTCCGAAGGTCAGACAGGAAATTAATTCACGTATTGATGATTATTTTCATAATGATAATAAATTAGCGAAATTCTTATTTTAAAGATTTGCAGCATTACATCATAGAATCATTATAGATTTAAATATATAATATCTAAATTTTAGTTTTAAATGTTAAATATGCGTGGTATATTGATATATATATATATATAAACATGAAGAAAGTC